TGTGTATGATCAGGCTGAAGATTACTATGAAACAATGAATAATAGGGCCAGCTAAACAGTAATATAGTGTTTTAAATATGAACTAAGAACTTGGTTGACTTTTCTTTTGTATGAATTGCTGTGAATTGCATCAGTGTTTGATGGTGTGAAGCAATCAGCATGTGGTCCTCCTCTGTTCAGAGGCACCAGCTTACTTAGGGACATACAGTCCGTATTACTGGCTCTGATTCATCTCAACCAAGTTAAAACAATATTTTACTTAAAAAAAAAAGGGGGGGGGAGGGGTAAATTGATGCTGTTGCCAGTCCAATGTTTTTTAACAAGTTGTTGATGTTAATTGTTGTATGAAGGAAGGAACTCCTGCTGCAGATCTAGAGAAGCCTTTGACTGACGATACTCTACTGTTGTTCAATAGTCTTCTAAAGATGATCCTCTAAGATTGTCCAAGACGTTCCGTGCTTTATGCAATATCCTTTTGTAAAAAACAATCTCCAGACGTTCCAGGGGAGTTCCCAGAGCAAAGCCCTCCATTCTTCACAAGCGCTAGTAGTGTTAATAGCAGCCAATAACAAATACTGCTCCCTTAAACCTCAGAGTTGTTTACATTCCTACTGTTAATAGTTTTTCCATCTGAATTTACTTGCAGTGGGACAATAAGTCATATTCTATGGTTGGGTACATTTAACAGATTTTAAAATATACCAAGCAATAAAGGATGTATATCAATGCTTTGAAAGTACAGGGTGTCTCGGTAGTGAGCTGTTCATAATACCAACTGCAGCAAAAATTCTGCACACATCAAACTATTAAACTATTCCAGTATAAACTAGTGGAGTTGCTCCCTCTAGTGTTGAAAATAAGTCAATTGAATATTACACAGGTTTTTTTTTTTTTTACCCCAGCTTATTATGTAGATAGAAACAGATTTGATAATAATTGCTCAATTTCACATGTATTGTTACTATCTGTATGATATAACTATCATTGGCCCTTTAAAGTGATTTGAGATGACATGTTGCGCAGAGGGAATTATGTATGAATATAGATTAAGTGAACGGAAATCAGATTACTGATATGTTCAGATACAAAAATGTTGAGCTACGCCTGGTTCTGTTGTACAAATTATTGCATATTGGGGAAAGAT